TGATATATTTTACATATATTCTATACATATCTTCAGCCACATAAAATTAATTAATCCTATTGATTATATATTGCGTTGTATATATTGCATATAATGTTATATATTGCCAGTAGGGAATATGTGAAATTGCATTTTATGTAGCGTTTCAAAATCTGATTACACTTAACTTATGCAGTTACTTGTTCTGATGCTTTCGCTCATAAACTTACGAAGCTTCCTTCTGATGATGTTTAGCATTATACATTGGTGTGTCATCAGTGAGAAATTTGAATTCCATACGTGAGAGAGGGCGTCACAGGTGGGATCTGTCGGACATATGTCATAAATTTTACCTTTACCTTTAGTTTGAAGAATGCCTTTGAGATACAGGCGGAAACGTCGGTATAGGACAGTCGTCTTACTGACTACTACTTTACAAAATAATGCATTTTGCAGAAAACAGTGAAAATTGTGTTATTTAGCATAGCAAGAAATGTTTGGTTATGACAGAAATGTAATCAGTACCGATATGACGATACTGTCAATTGACCCTTTGTCAGTGGTTTTATTTTTAATGAACACAGGGTCCTCCGTTCAGAGGTTAGGCGCCACGCGCAGAACTTGAAAACTTTAGCCGTGCATTATTTGCGGCTGATGACATAAGCTGACCGCCTTCATTCTTTTTCCCCGGGCTTAGAAGTTTCGTCCCGCATTTATTCTCAAGGTTTACTCTTTTTTGGGGCCATGTGTACAGTTGTTTCAGTGTTCCTGATCCTGGCACGTCAAGTAGTCTGGATTTCAAAGCTGGATAGTACCAGGTTTTCTGTATAACCTAGCATAACATAACTTAACGTTTCTTCTTCTGTATGATCTTGCACCGCCTTGCATGTGGCATTCCGAAAATGGCCCTCTTTGCCAATCTCGCTCGCATGACATCATCGTCGTATGTCGAAACTGTTGCCGCCTTGAGATCCCCGTGGAGTTTCAACCATATTTGCAACCGCCTTCATTCTTTTTCCCCGGGCTTAGAAGTTTCGTCCCGCATTTGTTCTCAAGGTTTACTCTTTTTTGGGGCCATGTGTACAGTTGTTTCAGTGCTCCTGATCTTGAGTCATCAAACAGGCACGTCAAGTGGTCTGGATTCCAAAGCTGGACAGTACCAGGTTTTCTGTATAACCTAGCATAACATAACTTAACGTTTCTTCTTCTGTATGATCTTGCACCGCCTTGCATGTGGCATTCCGAAAATGGCCCTCTTTGCCAATCTCGCTCGCATGACATCATCGTCGTATGTCGAAACTGTTGCCGCCTTGAGATCCCCGTGGAGTTTCAAACATATTTGCAACGGCCTTTGAAGTTGTTCTATAAAATTGGTTGATAAACGCACTATAAAATTAATTTCAAATCCTGGTTCAGCATTTTGTGCAGTGAACAAGTGAATTTTTCAACATTGTTCAGTACTTTCCATATGTGTATTTACGAAATTCTCTTAGGATCTCTGCCGCAGGCGAATGTCCAGTGGTCGTACTGCGACTTCCGAGTCGATAAGCGGTGTTGTTAACTCGCTGATTGAGCGTCTGGGGTCGCAGAAAAGTGTTTACGATTCACCGCAGCCAAAGTCGACTCATTCCTCAGCGTCTTCGTGGTAAGAATGTGCTGAATTTCGTACCCAATGTCGTGCCTTTGATCCATTTGATTTATCGCAAAACTGTACCTTTTACCCCCTGTAACGCCTGTCATAAAGTTTCAGCTTCGTCCACGTCATGAAAATAAATGATGGTCACCGATATAATGTATGATTATGTTCGAAACTGCACTATGATTGTTATACGGAAATTAATAGATTGCAAAATCGTTTCAGATGTAAATTGTAAATTTGAAGTCACGCAGAAAGTCATAATATGAAGCAGAAAATTTTATGTACTTTGTTTTATATTATATATCTCCATGTTGTTGCCGTTATTGTTGTTTTGTAATTGTCATTTGAGTCTGCCAGGGCTTAAGCTGCAGAGTAACCCAAATATATTGTTTTACCTCTGCCTGAAGGCCAGTGGTTCGAGATGTTGGAGAAAAAGTATATGATAAATTTTATATGCACTATCATTGCTAAGTCGTTTGTCGAGCTTCGATCTTAATTCACGCTTAATAAACTCAACTTCCGTTTTATATCGTAGGCGTAATAGTTAGTTTTTTACATTGAAAAACTAGCGTCTTTTTGGGTTTTAACATCTCACTATCTTCATGTAACTTTAATTGCTTTTGCTGTATATTAATATGTAGTTATTTTATTATCGCAAGGCAAGACACTATGTATTTTATTTTCCTTTTCTATCAGTGCTGTGGAAACTGTGAAGGTGTCTCATTAGCCCTAAAGTTCCACTGATCAATTAACAGAGCAAGGGTAAGTAAAATTACACTTTCCATTGCCTGATTCAAAGCCAAGAGCGTGGCTTCTGCTGGCACCAAGCGCTAGAAATGCAGCCGTATAGCTACAACTTTAGCGGCGGACCGAAATCATTGAAAACGTTCCTTTTCCGCCACTGCAAAGTAATTGCCAGTTTTAGAAATGAATGAATGAAAATGACTTGCCGATTTTCCTTCCTTTCAATGGACCTACAAACTGAATTGAACAAAATATGAAACTTGGGGTGAATTATAAGATCGGAATAGATAATTTTCTCATACCAAGACTTTGCACTAATTTGGCTGTAACGGAAGCATTCGTACGTTCTATGATTTGGCACATTGAACTCCCCGCGTTGGTACACTGCATCCATGGTAACGAGACGTGAACTTTGAAACCTATGGCTACTCAATAGCTTTCTATAGTTTTTTACCTATACCACTGCCACATTGATTTGGTTATTATTAAACGCAGATTTGCGTCTGCTCTTCAGCCCTTAGAAACCTCCGGGACATGACTTGATGTCGGTTGATCAAGCTGAACATTGACAGCAACTGCCATTAATATACTTTCTGTACGAAGCGGTGCTTAACGGCTGCTTTTTCGCGATCGTTGCTTCGTTGGTTGCTTGTGAGACCACTTGTCACCTGATGATCAGTTGCGGATTCGCCGAGCCTCTGTTGCCTCCCTTCTACGACCGTTCAGTTACTCGCTGACATCGGGACAACGCGCCAGGCCGAAAGCTGCTTGCTGCTTTGCTTGACGCTTAAAGCGACTTTACTTAATCCTGCCTGAATGCCATGCGAATGCGGTCGATTCCACAATTTTGTGCTGATCGAACGGAGTGCTGAACGAAGTGCAGCTTCCGTAGCAGGTATTCAGATCGCTTGGTCGTGCGTTAGGCGCTGTCTACTTTTGATTTTAACTCCTATTTCTCAAGTGATGCTTTCGCGTATAGATTATTTGTTCTTTATGCCACCCTATGATTACTTTTACTGCTTTGTATGATGATATTTTTGAAAACTGCAGAGGTGACTCGATCGTCTTTCATATTAATTGCAGTTAAAAGCATGAGTCAACTTCGAAGACGGAAACAAGAGGCTGAGGGAAAAACTGAAAAGAAGAAAAATTGTTTTGTTCGCTTGAGCTTCGACGAACCACTCGTCTTTCATGCGACCAAGGTCGATTATTGCGTTCCACATAGTGTGACGTGTGCATTTATTCGTTTGCAATGAGCGCTGTTTATTTCCGTCAACTGTTTCAAGAGTTCGCGTCACCCTAATCATAGCTCTGCTGTTTTTTTGGTGCGACCTAAAGCACATAATTTCTGTATGCGCTTCCAAAAATATCCCACC